GAGGCACGTCGGGCGCAGAGCAGGGAGCAAGGGCGCAGGCTGGTGCAGGGGCGAGGCTCGGACGTGCAGGGGACCCGGGTTCGGGGCGCAGGGCGCAGGGCGCAGGGCGCGGGCTGGTTCGGGAAAAAAAACAAATTTGATGGGGAAAGAGAAGGTTCCAGACACCTTCTTTTTTTCTTTTTTCTTTTTTTTTTGGGTTTGGGTTTGGGTAAATGGGTATTGGGATTTTGGGCTTGGGTAGTTGGTAGGCTTGGGTTTTGGATTTTTGGGTAATTTTTGGTTTTGGGATTTTGGGCTTGGGTAGTTGGTAGGCTTTGGGTTTTGGGTAATTGGGTTTGAGTTTGGTGAGTTTTGGATTGGGTTTGATGGGTTTTGGGTAGACTTTGCATTTCACCCCTCCAACTTTCCATTTCTTCAATTGAGTCCTTTTTCTCATCTTCTTTTCCAATCTTCTTCGTAAAATTTCCTTTTTGCCCTCCCCTTTTTTTCTTTGAATGAACCTAACAAGTAAAATAAAGATAAAACATATTAGTTAAAATAAAAATAAAATAAAATTCTACTAAAATTTGAGTTATGACAACTATTTTTATATATTATTTTGAGATTATAGTTTTTCTATTTGGACGACCAGAAATATTATTGATGAGTTAATTTTACTTTAATAAGAGTATTAATCAATTTATATAATATAATGATAAAAATTGTCATCTCATAGAGACTGCATATATATTAATTAAGTATCAAAAGTAATTAATTTTAATTTTATTTGAACAATTAAAATTAAATGATTTAAATGAATTAATTAAAAACTAAATGGGTAAACCCCCATTTTGGTTCCTCTATTTTTATAAAAAAAAAAAAACCTTTTTTAAATTTCTCTACTTAAAAAGGTTCCCTTTTAGTCCCTAAAATTTATTATCCAGTCTCTTTCTAATCCCTCTATTATCTTTTGCACAAATGAATTGTTAGATAATGAAAATTCCAAAATAAAGGGACTAAAAAAGAGCTTTTTTTAAAGTATATGGACTAAAAAAGAGCTTTTTTTAAGTAAAAGAACCAAAAAGAAAATTTTTTTAGTCCCCTTTTAGTCCCTTTAGTTTGGAATTTTCATAATCTAATGTGTCACATATGCAAAAATAATGGAGGAACTAAAAAGGAGACAAACAGTAAACTTTAGGGATTAAAAGAAGTTGTCCTAAGTAGAGGGAGTAAAAAAGGACTTTTTGTTAAAGTAGATGAACCAAAATGGGATTTTAACCAAACTAAATTGACTCTAAGTGACAATGAGAATTGAAATTCTAAGGTACCATAATCAATTAATATACTTATAAAATCTTTATTACTCATATCACAACGAGATTTCTTGTACTATTGAATATACTTTATCAAATTGGACCGTGATACATTTACCCTCACTGTTTA